AAAATCCAATTTAAAGTGAACAATCTTGGTTAGTAGAGTTAAACTTGCTAAGTGTTACTTTATGAGATAATAAATAATAATAATAATAATAATAGGAATAATATCAATAATAGTAATAATAATATAAAATTATTTATTAAAAAGAAAAAAAATATTTATTATATATATATATATATTCCCTTTCTTGGCCTTTCCTCTCACGCGTTTCCCTCTGCTATTCTTACAGAATAACAGAGAATAAGTAATGGCAAGGCAATTTCTAGCTTTGATCGTCGTCTTTTTCTTCCTCCATTGGTGGGAAACAAATGCTCAAGCTCCGGCACCGCCGTCTGGTCCAACAAACATCAGTGCGATTCTTGAGAAAGCTGGTCAGTTCACCACCTTCAATCGTCTGTTGGGTAGCACACAAGTGGCTAACCAAATCAACACACAGCTCAACAACTCCAACCAGGGACTCACCATCTTCGCACCTACAGACAACGCTTTCAATAACCTAAAAGCCGGAACCCTAAACTCCCTTTCCGATCAACAGAAGGTCCAGTTGGTTCAGTTCCATATTCTCCCTACTTTCCTCTCCGTGTCGCAGTTTCAAACCGTCAGCAACCCTCTTCGCACGCAGGCTGGAAACAGTAACGGTGGCCAGTTTCTGCTCAATGTTACAACTTCGGGGAATCAAGTGAATTTGACGACGGGTGTTGTTGATGCAATGGTGGCTAACACAGTGTATACTGATAAGCAGTTGGCTGTTTATCAGGTGGACCAGGTGCTGCTTCCTTTGGATCTTTTTGGGTTGTCATCGTCGCCGGCGCCGGCGCCATCGCAACTGGAGAAGACTGTTCCGGTTTCAGCTCCGAAAGGGTCTTCGTCGGCTGGCGCATCTGTTGATTCGTCTATTGCAGCGAGCTTAAACTGCAATGTATTGGCGATGGCGTCCACTGGGATTGCAATTTTGGCAGCGGCATCTTTTTGGCTATGATTTATTTAAAAAAAAAAAAAACTTTGCTTGTGTATGATGAGTGGTTTAATTCTGTGTTCAATCGCTATTCTTTTCAATAAATTCCCTGTATATGGTTAATGAAATCATTTTTGTTTATTTGGTAAATGGAAATATTAACATTTATTCTTTAAAATATATTAACATATCAAACAAAATCCCCTTATAATAAAAAGACCAAAGATTTGAAACTATCTTTTCTTTAAAATGTCAAAACAGTTAGCCTCATTAATCCCCCCAAAAGTCTTCCTATTCCTCTCTTTCCGAACAATCCAAAAGATAGTGAACAATATAAAGTCCACGTGTTTTCTCCCGCCTCCGATACCCTTCCATGCTAAATTTCTTCTCTCACCGAACCTGCCGTCACCCAACTCACAGAACTTGTAAACCACCAGACAACGCAGTAACACATGCTTACAAGTCTCCTCATCCTTCTTGCACAGAAAACAGATGTTAACCAAATAGAATCTATAAATATGATTAATCATCTTAAATCGGCCAAAAACTATAAACACCAATCATATTTTTAGTTTTTAAATTCATTTAAACTTCTAAATCACCTAATAATTTTATAAAATCATAACATTTTGAAAGATTAAATGAGAATTCAAATAATTAACCCCTTCAAAAGCCAAAGTTTAGTTCCTCATGAATAGAAAACATGCTTGTATGATTCAAAAGAAAGAATTAGGTATGTTAATGAAGTACATAACGTGTGCTTATGTCCCCTGTAAACCTACGGATACATGAAGTAAAAAAAACACAAAACCCACTAAACTAAAGCCTCATCAATCTCCTTTGGTTAATTGCTAAAATTTCCAAAATTAAATTATACAAATGGAGCAAAACTTTGTGAAGGGCAGAAAACCTATTGTGATGATCTAATGTATATAACCACCGGTACTTTGTCAGCATCAGTCTTTTTTTTTTTTCTTTGTTCTGTATTCAACAAAACTTCAGTTTTGTAAGTTTTTCTTTCAACCAATAACCACCAAAATCAGAAATGGAAACCTCCGAAGCCACCAGGAAAGCCTCCTTCAAATCCGCCAAAGCCACCAGCACCACCTGGAAAGCCACCTTCAAAATGGAAGGTAAATTGTTGTCCCCCGCCACCAAAAGGGTTGAAGCCACCACCTCCCATGCCCATGTCTTCGATATCTTCCCCTCTGTCATATCTTGTTCGCTTGTCTTCATCTCCAAGAACCTGTCAAGTACCAACATGGATATTATTTCACAACAATCTAATATAGTTTTCTTTAGGTGCCTCTTCTTTTCAGGCAGAATTAGGGAGGAGGAAATTGAAACTAACGAATCAGACCTCATAGGCAGCAGCAATTTCTCGGAATTTGGCTTCTGCTTCTTCTCTATTATCAACGTTCTTATCCGGGTGCCATTGCAGAGCAAGCTTCTTGTAGGCACGTTTGATTTCAGATATAGATGCAGTCTTGGAAACTCCCAAAATCTTATACCAGTCCTTTCGCTTACTCATCTTCAGTGCTTTCTCAGCTCTCATTAATGTTTCCCGGATATTCATATCCTAAAATATTAGGAATTGAAAAAATTATGACCTTTCAAATCCACATGACCCAAAAGAAGGCATTCAAAGCAATTCAGTCACTTTTTAAAATGCATGTACATTTTCAAGTTGGAAAACACACTTCCGCCGGTCTGTTATTTGTACTTTTCTGTTACTAAGTAGTATTCCATTCATCAATGTATCCTGTCTCTGCTCATTCCGGCTGAGAATGTAGTCTTGTGGCTTAAATATTTCTTAGTTATAAGCACTTTAAACAACAATCTAACTTATATGCATTTTACAGGGTATAGGTTTCCTCATAATCATACAGTTTGAACCCATAAGTATACACTGTGATGTCAATTGTTAAATTTCTCATGAATGTTAGTAATCCTATAAACTAAATTAACAAGGCAAAATCAACATGCTGTACAAAAGCAGCATGGGATCTAGATGTTAGCATGACAAGTTTAACCACAACATGTACATAATTTTGCTTTTCCAAATAATTTGCTTTTCCATATTCATTTGCTGATCTCCAGAGTAGACAAAAGGGTACATTTACATGTACAAAAGCATGCAAATTCACAAAGATAGTGTGTGCTGCATGCAAGATTGCTGTCCTGTCATGTTAGCTCACAGGCCAGCCTTCCCCGGCATATTGGCACAGTACAGCGACTACCATCTCAACTTCATGGAAAACTTTTATTTCATTCTCCTATAATGGTTCAAGTCTAGGAGAATGAAATACAAGTTTGCTAGTTCATACCCTATGATGGTTCAAGTCTAGGAGAATGAAAAACTTGTATTTCATTTTCCTAGAACAATAAGTACAAATCTATATGATCTGCTAGCATCACTGAATGAAAAAATTAATATCAGAGAGAATGCTGTAACATTTAAAGCTATGTGAGACATCACATCAACAAATTACAGACAGAGAAAATTCTAGCAGTTGGCAACAATGCTCTGGGAATACAAGAACCTTAAATATATAAAAATTTAGACTAACCTGAGGTGATCTCTGTGCTGCTGATTTCAAATCTTCCACAGCTCCTTCCCAGTCCTCTGTTAAGAGTTTTGCTTCACCCCTCTGCAAATGCAAAATGTAGGAGCATTTTGAGAAAACCATGCAGGATACATCCTTTTTTTTTTTTGAGATAAAACCATGCAGGATATAGCATTAGAGTAGTTTGTCACATATTTCATTTTGAACAGATCAAGAAAGAACAATTGGAATGGAAACAACAACAAACCTGAACTAGAGCTTCAATAAGCTCCTCATCAATGTTAAGTGCCTCAGTGCAACTGCTCAAAGCATCCTTTCCCCTGCCAAGCTTCACCAAGACCTTACATAATCCAAGGTGAAGATGTACATTATGTGCAACATGATCTGGATCCAATGCAATAGCTGCTTTGAAGTCCTCAACTGCAACACGTAGCTTACCCTTGTTTGCATTATCTTCTGCCTGCACAAAATGCAATATATTTTTCCTTTAGCAATCTGTATCACTTGGTAAATGATACGAAAATGACCCTCAGAAAAAGAAAAAAAATCATTAGAAAGCATAGGGAGAATGGCAAACCCCATCAACCTAGGCCCTTACCCAACATTTGAACTAGAAAGCAAATGAAAAGTAATAATAATGATAATAATAATAATAATAGCAATAGTAATCATCACCATCAGAAAACATAAAAGCTTACACTCTTGCTCTTCTTAAGTAAATTCTTCAATCCAAAATATGCTTTCTTCAGTTCACTGTGCTCTGGATCAAGGCGAAGACCTTTCTGGTAATGCCTGAAGAGAACATTTATTTTCATATACACTTGATTCTAGATGTAGCTCTATAGAAATAATTATAATAACCTGAGTTAGCATGGGGAGATTTTGGATATAACATAGACACAAACCTTTGAGCAACATCATGATCTGCTAAATAATAGTAAGCACGACCCCTGAGAAGTAATGCTTCTAAGTTATTCTCATCTTCCTTGAGAATGTAACCAGTCTCAGAGATTGCACTGGAGTAGTCTTTAGTTGCTAACAACAGCTTCACTTTGAGAAGCTTTGCCTACAACAAACATTGCACATAGAGTTAGCAGGCCTGCAAGATACTCAATATATGAAAGCCGGACTCCAGAAACAAACTGAAGAAAGAAAGGATGAACCTTCGAGCATGCTGGAGAAAAAACAAGAACAACTTTATCTACATATTCCAATGCTTTTGCAAACTCTCCTGATTCAAAGAGAGTTGAAGCTGTATCCAAAGCACTCTGGGCCTGAAGTAGTTGAGAAAGCTCCTTTTCCGCAGCTGAATTTCTAGGTTTTATCTCCAGAAACTTTTTGTATTCCTTCTCTGATTCCTCGTATCTATATAATTGTAAAAGAGCCTGAATTATATATTTCCAAATCAGAAACAAAGAGAGAGGGGGGAGAGGGGAAGGGAGTTGGGAACAGAGAGAGAGAGAGAGTTTGAATTAGTTGATTTGGGGAAAGGACAGAAAAAGATGTTAAGAAGACCTATCTAAGGTGAAGAATCAGCTTCAGAAGTTTAACAAAATTCTGTCCTCAATAACTCTGCCATGAATACATGCTTTGAAAGCACTGCACCAGCATGCTTTGTAGCCATGTGTTTTTTGACTATGTGAGACAGAAAATGATCACAAAACCGGAAGGATAAAAGATAAAATACGCAAGAACTGAAAAGAAGCTAGTGTTATAAACAATTAAAAATAATAATGAAGCAATAAAGATTTTGCGTAACAAATAAAGAGTTGTGACAGATAGTACATATTAATAGAACAGATGACTCACTTTCTAATGTGATAAAATAAATATAAAAAGGGGACCATAAAAAGGTAAATACAGCTAAGCAGTATTATATTGAGATTCCATGTATTCACATACACTCAAAAGAACTAAAACTAAATCGCAAACTTTCATTATCCAGTCTCCTATAACTTACAAAAGCTTGATGAATGTTACAACTGCCTATAAAGCTTTTAATTTAACTTGAATGAAACTTGTTAAAAGAGATACCATAATATAAAAGTAGTAATGCAAATATATGCTGAAGAAGTACCTGCATAATTGACGAAAAATAGATGCACGGCGGAAGTATGCTTCTGAAAGTGTTGGGTCCGCCTCTATAGCTGCATTGAGATCAGTAAGTGCCTCATTGTAACGCTTCACCTTCACAGTTTGTGAAACCTTTTCAAACAACTCAGCCACATTTCCAGGTGTTCCATCTACACATTGAAGTTACACAGACTTCTTAGCAACGAGGAAGCAGAGAAGAGTGCAGCTATGCCGATAGGTAACTTGCAGTGACACTTAATTACTAGATGAGAACTTCTTTAACTTGATGTCTTAATTTATAAAGAGGCACAAATTGCACTAGGCCTACATTTACCAGGAGACAAATTAATGTACAACTGTAGCATATTTAGTGTATTACTCTATGACAGAATCTATATGCCAATGAATGATTTCGCAGATTTCAGATTCATTGCTTTGGTGTGGTGATATTAGAGGCAGACAGAAGCTTACGATAACCTACAATAAAGAAAAAAATCTCTACTTCTATCTTATTGATTTAGGAAGGAACGCTGAATTGTCATCTATATAATGAAATTTATGCAATTCCCTAATTTGTAAAACAAAATACGGGCCTTTAGGATGCAGATTCTTCTCTGTTACGCAAATAACAATGTAGTAAACTACCAAGCAAACCTTCTTTTATAGAAGTATCTCCAAAGTTCCAAGAATTAAAATATCCTATTTTGAAACTCCAAAACAAAGTTCTGAACAAAAAGAAGACCCAAATTTCAGAAGCAACCCAATTTCTGAATAGAAGTTTGCTTTAAATAGATCGAATAACGAAAACCCTTTTTACTTTGAACAGGATGGAAAACGTTTCGACTTTGGAAGCTTTAAGGTATTGAATCCATGGAACCCCGAGAGCTAAACAACGAAAGCTAACTAGCATCTACCGAGGAGAATGCTTATTCAGCTTACAGATGAAAAAATAATGCGAAGTAACTACTACAAAACAGTGCACGGGCAACGAACTTAATTTATTGATCAAAACAGTCCGAAAAGATAATTAAACTTCGTGATTCGAATCAAGGTAAAAAGATCCAAGGGAATGCTGCATTACCCAAAGCATAGACGAGAGGTTGAAGAAGGAGAAATTGGCAAGCAAACACGAAATTAAGTATGAAAACAGTGTACATCAACCCTCTCCAAGCCACCGCATCCATGGCTGAGCAAAAACTGGCCAGATTCATCTTCACACTCTCTTGACTCTTGTCTCTATATGCGTAGATACACACCAATCACATATGCATATACAGAATTCTGAACGTACTGCAAACTTCGATTTGGAGATTGACAGAGAAGAGATCGATTATGGTGAAGCAAATTAATTTTTTTCTTTTTATGATTTTATAATTTTTGTTGAGAGACAGAGAACTAAGAGCATGTCATTACACGTTACGTCGACGAGTCGCTGGATTCCACGTGGACTCAGAGTGTTTTGCCCAAGACGAACACCCCAAACAAACGGCCCGTCAAGAACGGCGCCGTTTAAAACAAAACAAAAACCAATAGTACGTAACCACGTGTCAGTACGCCTTTGTGGACTTGTTTGGTGAAAAATGTAAGAGCATATTACAACTGGGTACAGCTACGGCGTCGTATGAGGCCCATAGGCATATCTTTTACGACGTCGTATCGTAATATTTTCAACTTGAAGCATGTTGGGATAAAGGGCCCTATTGGGCCAAGAAGTCAAGAACCAGGCCCAAAATATGCTTTAGAAAAATATTTTATTTACATTCTTCTAATAAAAACGTCTTACTCATTATTAAAAAAATATATACATTGTATTTTATAAATTGTACCAAATTGATCATTAAAAATTAAATTAAATTAAATTAAATTAATACTTTAAAAAAGGGAAATGATTTATTTAATATATTTTATTAAAGGACAAATTAATATTTTCATTAATTCCCCTTTCTTTTTTTTTTTTTCTACCTGCTTAACTATTTTTTATTATTATGCAGAGAATATAATTTTATGATATTTTTTATAATTATATAATAAATAATATTTTATATGAATAAAAATTATATAAAAATAAAAAATATAATAAAATATAAAAAGTATGTAACTAACTAAAAATTAATGATATAGCAGTATTAGTACATTAATTTTATTTTGTATATAAAAACTATTTAATACACAATTTATAGTCAACTAAAAATTAAATTCTATTTTTATGTTTTAAAATTTTAAATAAATAATTTTTATATGTATTATCATATTAAATAAATAGATAGTTATTGACATAAAAGTTTATTTAAAAAATAAAGAATTATACGTATTAATTTTTTGTTTTACTTTTGTATTATATATTTTGCTTATCAAATTTAATTATCAAAAATAAAAAATCGATTGATTCAGTTACGAAAACCAATAAGGAAAAAAAAAATAAAATCGAAAACATTAATTTGTAGCAGTTCAAAGTTGAAAAATTTAGGCCGACTCAACTATCAAAAAGCTGGTGGTAACAAGTACCAATAAAAAGGTTAAAAAAATTTAAGTATAATACAACTCTCTCTTCCTTTTAGTGCTTTCCATATCCATAGCCTTTCTTTTTTTTTTTTTTGGCTTTGATCTCAATTATTTAATCCTAGGAGCTACATACATAGATCTAATGGAGTTATATATATATATATATATATATATATATATCATCTCAGCTGGGTGACTGTTGGGTATGTGAAAATTACCATACCCACTTTTTTTTTTTCTATAATTAACCCAAGAAATAAAATAGTATGTATGGTATGAGAGTTGTTAGGCTAACTATTAATAGGTTCAATAAAAAGGCAATGAATGAAAGTCAAAAACTGTCTTGTCCTGTCCTGTGCATAGAGACTTACAACGACGGTTCATTAGGTACAACATTGCCCTAGATTAGCACCACTACAGAACCTACAGCTTTCAGCCAAAAATTAAGGGTTCCCTAAAACATGTCAAAATATTGTAAGAGCATATTACATAAAAGAAATAATTTCCTTTTAAGTTTATTGCAAGGTTGTAACACTTGAAAATCATAATTATGGATTTATATTGTATAAATTGTTATTTAATTTATTAGTTATATATTTAATTAAAGATTCTATTTTATTATGAATTTATTATTTGTTTGAATTTTTATTTATTTTATTAAATTATTTTTAATTTAAAAATATAACTTGAAAACATAGAAAGGTCCATCTAACTTACTTGGGATTGAACCAATCCAAACTGGTGTGGTCCTGTCTCGGGTCTAAAATATAAGGTTTGAAAATTTTTAATCTTACCTAGTTTATTTTAGTTTTGAATCGATAAACATCTCAATTTAAATAGTACATTAATATTACCTATTTAAGTTATATAATTTATATATATATATATATATGTTACTTATGTTGTAAATTAAATATTACTTTTAAAAGAAATATATGAAAACTACTGTATACTAAAAAGATTTTATAAAAACATCATTCAATATAAAATAAAAAAACATTTGCAGCAATCCTTCCTTAAACTAACAATTTTTTCATCAACAAAATATATTCATGTTTAGGACATATTAAATGTATACTCCAATCTCTTAGTAACTAAAATAAATATTTTTAATAATGACATAAAATGTTAATATAGAATATAAGGTTGATATAATCAAAGTACCTCTCACCCCATTATAAATCTATTTTATCAACCTACTAGTCTTGCTTCTACTTTGTTTATAAATGATATCCATATTTGGGTTAAGAAGAGATTTACGCAAGAAAGGAACCTAAGTAAACGGAAGGCCAATACCCTTTCTGGTATTTATTAAATTAGCCACTTTGTGATGTTCTTATTTCTATATGTTAAAGAAACTGATATTTTTAAGTATGTGATTAGAAAATTAAAATACATTCATTACTTGCACCCCGTTACCCACCCTAACCTCACATAAAAGAAAAGATTGTTTTGCATAATTTTCTTAAAAATTGATGCAAGACCCTCAATCGCAATGTTAAATAAGAATGATAATAAATAGTTATCTCATCTTACCCTTTTCCTCATTGGAAAAAACTCGATGACTTAAAAATTAACTAGGACCACATGAAGATGGTCGAGACACACTAATTAACAAATCCCTCTATCTTATTTTGAAAACCCATCACCTTAAACATATTATCTAGAAAAGTAAAATTGACTATGTTATAGACCTTCCTAAAATCTACTTAAAACATAAAGTCCTCACCCTATCTCCTCATGAAATTCACCACTTCACTAGCTATTACGACATAATCAAATAATAATCGATCATGGATGAATGCAAATTGATGTTTTGATATGATTTCATCCATCACATTTCTCAATCATAGCCAAAATGTTGACTATTACATTGTACATACAACTTGTTAAGGAAATTGTTATGAAATCATTAGGATTAATTGGGTTCTCATGTTTCAATATAAGGGATATAAAAGAAGCATTGATTGACTTGAAAAAAATTTTACATAAAAAAATCCTCTAATGCTTCCATCACATCACCTTTTATTGTCTGTTAGTTATTCCTTATGAAATTCATACTAAAACCATTTAGGGCACATGTTTTGTTTTTATCACGTTTGGATAATATCGTATATAGCTCCTCCTTAATGAACTGTCTCTCTAACAAAATATTTTTTCCATCAAATTTTTTTTTCACCTTGAACCCTTCTGTTGAATAAAAAGCAAGGGGTTTCACATGAAATGTTCTATAAAGAAACTCAATGTCTCATCTTTTATCCTTTGGGGTCTAACAAACTTGATATACTCTTTCCTAAAAAATGTTATCTAATTTGTCTTCCTTCTATCTAACAATTTCTTTTATCTAACACTACTTGATGAAAAAACTGTGTTGTTGCTTCCCTCCTCTAACTATGCTACCTTAAATTTGTTTTTTCTACATACTTTCTTCCCATATTGAAAGAGTCCACAAATCAACTCTCTTCCTCCTAAATTCATCAAACTCCACCTTTCTTTTATTGGTTCTGCCTAGATCTAACTAGGTTATCAAGTTTAATTTTACTTGTATAATCATCCTTGAGATGTCTTTCATTTTTTTTATTTGCAAGATTTGGTATCGTTTTTTATATACCCCAATTTTATTGTTAACTGGAAATTAAGCTAACCAATTACCCTATATCCCTCTCAACTAAGCTTTATAAACTCCCTAAAGCTTTTTTCCCTATCTAATGCATTGTAATTACTTAATGATTTTAGACCCAACCAACATTTACTATTGAAAGGTTACTAAATGGTTTTAGACCTACTTAACATTTACCATTAAGATAGAGCAATTTTGGTTCTAAATTAATTAATTGACTTAGAAAAAATTAAAAATCCATTGTCACTAGAAATTAATCCAATCTACTAATTGATGGAACATCTTTATTATTATATCACATTCTACTTCTCAAGGCAAATCCATCATATTTGACCTATTTGCTATTTCAATAAGACCAACATCTCATTTTCTCCTCGATCTCCATTTTTTCCCTAACCACAAGAAACACATTAAGATCTCTCTTTAGATATATTGGCACATTACACCCCTTAGATTGTTAAAAAAGGATGACCATTGACGCTCACTCCTCCAACAATTTCCATATACACTGTAAAGGCCTGGAACTTAAAAGAAAATAAAGTCATAAATTAAATATAGAATAGAAATAATAGAGTTTAGAGTTTACATTCCTTACACAATAATTTAGAATGCTCAATAGGGTTACCAGAATGCTCCTTCTAAAAGAAGAAACAAAAATTAAAAAATAAACAAAAGACAATGTACTGAGCACTCTAGGACGATCTTCACTATTTTAAAGGAAGTTCAGGTGGTGAACTATTCACAACCCTCTTGTTAATCGGGATCTGGGTCTTGGTTCTCTTGATCTGAAATAGTAATGAAAGGGCGAGCTACACTATCCCAGTAAGAAAATCACACTACTCACCAATATAGAAACTGAAAGTTGGTAAAAATCATAAAAATAACCAATAGAGCTCTTGATTTAAGTAAATTCATTTATCATAAGGAAAACTATTTATAGCATATATTTACTGTTGTGAGATTTTCAAAATCGATCTATAGAGATAATAAGTTAAATAACATTCTAATATCATATTCATGTGAGTAAGAATAAAAATTTTCCCTTTTTATTTGCCTACTAGTATCCTTGGAGGTCCATAAGGATGTTCCACTACACGTGAATCAATATCCAACATTGTCAACTAACCAACCGTCCCCATACCCCCTCCGGTATGAGCACCAAAAATATAATTTCTCAATACCTCATCCGGTATGAGGGTGAATCGGGCCGTCTCTATGTACCCGGTCCGTCCA